TTTTACGTTACAGTAACCTTCAGTAGGTATAAATAATTAAATCTAATACAATATTATGTCATTAAAAAAATAAATATGCCAAATTTCATCGTCACATTTTTGGTCGAAATAACATGCCTATTTAATAACTTAATAACCAACGTAACAGGATTAGAGCTATAAAATGTTATAGCAAATATCCTTACCATTCATATTCAGTTTTTATAGGGGACCGACATATCTTTGTGTGTCGAGGGGTTTATATCCGACCTTTATGTGACGTCTTTCGTTGACCCGCGAAATTCGTTCTTATTTTACGTCTTTATAATTTCGTTTGTTTATTATCAAAATTCGGGTAAGGGTTACGGATTTTGAACTTTTTTTAGCAGTAGCAGAAGAGCTCCTTTTGAAAGAGATTTTCCAGGGAGGTACCTTACTTATTTCTGCCGCCAAGAAGTAATGTGAGCATTACTGCGTTCCGGGTTTAGGAGTGTAAGGGTGCTGGTTAAATTACTTGACTTGTCAACTCGTGACGTCTCAGGGTGACGGGCGTAGTGTCAGTGCCTCTCGAATCTTTGCGATGCGATGTAAAGGTCTGAGTAGCACAGCAACGTTATGGATAAGCGTGTCGCTTACCACCAGGCACAGACTTGTCCATAACCTCACGTGGTATTATAGAAAAAAAACTTTTTTTTGTGAACAGATAACCAACATATTGTGTGCTTAAGTTTTAACGATTGTTACAATGAAACTATTTTTCCGGGTCTAAATCGCGTATATTTGTTTTATCAAACAACTTTTACACGCCCACGATTACACGGTTACTCAATGATTAACAGTCAGCCGTGACCGGGACCTGTAAATATACGCGATATAGATCCGAAATAATTATAACTTTAAAAAAAAAGCCGCCTTCAAAAGTTTGTGGAATTACATCCATAGATATAGAAAAAAAAGGGAAGATATGGTATGTGGGCATGGCTCGTGTCGCCTCGATATGGTCAAAATGACCATATCGAGGTGACACGCCTGCAAACATCGCCACAGTGACATGGCGATCGTTGTACATACAAGATCTCTCGTAAAACGTGAAAATGCGAAGTTGTAGCGATACACCTTGTAAAAATTGGAGTGAAAACAAAAATTTTAAAACCAGGGAGATAATATTCCACCGGCTATTTGCATTTTTAGTTACTATTTCTATTATTATTCAATGTTTTCTTTTTGTCTCCATAGAAATTTCTAGACTCAAATATAGTGATGTTCATTTACGAAGTCTGATGTTTATCGACAATAAATTTTTACTGAAATGTTTGAATTTCTTACTATGATTTTTAATTAAAGTCCCTAAAATATCGAAGCGAAAAGCATTAACGTTAAATTGATTTCTTTTATTTTATTATTATTATTATTATTACAAAAATTTTATTTCGAGTAACTTTAACGCAACTCATATTTCGGACAACCGTTTCAATTTCATGTCAATTCGGATGTTGCTGTTGCTTGAAGAAAAATTTATGTGTTTTAGATATTAAAGATATTTAAATTCCATGATACTCGTAGATGAAACGTAGAATATTTTTAATTTTTAAGTTTTTCCAATGAGTTCAAAATAAAAGAAGGTTGGATTGAAGCTGCAGGAAAATCGAAGGATTGGTTTTCTTATTACTATTTCTGAATTTGTTTCAATTTCCATAGCAAATGCATTTAAAAAAGAAATAAAATAAAATCGGCTTCATTTTACTTGTGCATGCAAAATAAATTAGAAACAATTATAGAAAATTACATAAATCCTTAATAAAAAAACAACATAATTTAATTTATTAAATTCGTTGATGGTTCGATTTTACTCTTGACAGTGACAGCTTCACCAACTCGTGCTAACGTATAATGGAAAATTGACACTGGCGACAGTCGCCATATTTTTTATATTATTCTTATAAAACTGACACTGGTCCAAGCCTAGTGGCCGCCATTAAGAAAATAATAATAATTTATATTGTATATTAATTTATAATACACCAGTACCAGTGCAGATATAGTATGAAAAATGGAATATTTTTTAATATTAAAAACAGCCAACATGGTTTCCAACTATCGATTAGGTAGGACCACATCACTCGTTGAGTAGCGTCAGTTTAAGGTTAATAAGGTTAACAATTCACGGAGCGGTTTCCATCCGCGCCCGCCGGTGCTGCTAGACAGCGGTTTTATTTCAATACTCACGACCCTGCAAGTTTGTGCAGGCACGTAGCTGCCGCGGTTGCGGGCATGAAACCATTGCGATTGGGGAACGGACCGCGAAGTTAGTGGGAGTTAATTGCAAGTGGCGCGGTTAATAGAGAACTCGCCCTGCGTGCGCTTGCACCACATTGTGCCTGAACCGACCGCCAAAGTGTGCGGGCGACGACGGCAGCCAAGCGCGCAGGTCATCGCGTCCTGCGCGGTTCTACTAGAACCCTGCCGCGGCAACCGCGAACAACCGTCACCACTACAGGCGTAAAACGCGCTGTGAAATGTACTACTAATTTTACATACTTAACTGTTACATTCTACAGATACCGCGGTCCCGCGGGTGAAAACCGCTCCGTGGTTGTTAGTGTAACGAAGAATGAGTTTCAGCGTCATCTAACGTGTAATAGTTAGCTATTATATACTAGTAGTATTTTTACTAAAACGCCACCTATTGGTGAATGGCTGGACCAGGATGAAAAAAATACTGTAAATACTGGAAATATTGTAATGTAACTCTTATTCAAGCAACTGTAAGTTTTTGTTAAATTTTAACATTGTTTTACGTCGTTTTCACGTTTTAAGCCCTACCCAATCAAAATCTTTAAGTTATGGTAGTAGATAATAGAGCGTAAAGTTTGAATTGCACACAAGCTAAAAAGTGGCGACATCTGTACCCCGATCTTACATAGCGTCATTACATATCACCCCTTTTTTTCTATATCTATGATTACATCTATTTGCCAAGTTTTATTGCAATCAGTTAACGGAAAGCGGATCAAATCAAATAAACCGGATACATCCCCTAATTGTCACCCTTAGAGGTGGAATATTTTCTTCAAATTTGAATAGAACTACTACTGAGGTACCCCCTTTCCAGCAAAAAAAAGAATCATCGAAATCGGTTCACAAATGTCGGAGTAATCGCGTAACGTACAAAAAAGAACGGAGTTTAGAACCTGCTCTTTTTGTAAAGTCGGTTAAAAAGAGTTACATTTCCTAAAATAACCAACAATTTTTACTTGGTTAAAGTAGTAGTAGCTTTGTCATTTTGTAATGTTGTGTATATTGTGGTTTATAATATAAAAGGAAAACACTAATGCATTGAAACATGTACGTTTTAATTTAAAAACAATCAACAGATCCACGCATTCTATCAGCGTCACATTTTTCCTATACAACACTTTAACATTAGCGCAGTTGTAGGTACTTCTTTGGCAAGTCGACTCTAACGTACATTACACTTACATATACCAAAAAGCGGCTATGCCTGCCGTTTGTAAATATTATTTAATAAATATAATGATCATCCATCAGCTGTTTCAATTAAAGATACCATTATAATCAACCTAAAAGCTTGGCTACGAGTTAAAATAAGGAGCAAAAATCACTCTTCATACTTCCGTAATGCAATAACAACGCAAGTAAACATTAAATACAACCAACAATAAGTTTATATGTATTATAAATTGATAATGAATCTCATGAGATCAGAGAATGAAACATAAGGCGACTAAGCTATTAGTTCACTGGCTTTACAAAATTAGAAAGAATGTAGGCGATTTTATATTTCATGCATTTACACTGAAAGTCAAATCATAAATAATAAGACAAGTATGGTAACTTCAAACAAATGTAGCAGCGTGACTTGAATGTGTGCGCGCCCGTAACGCGCCGTGTACGGACGCACACATTCGCATAATCTCGTGACGCATTCTGCCATCCGCTGACTAAAAGTTTGTAGAGATATCATACAAAACCATAACCCAGGATAAGAATATTGAAATTGTTTAAGGATATTTCAGCTATGCATCATTAGAGTAAGTTCCGATAAGTCGAACACGTTAACTAATTTTAACTGTTTTTAAAAGAAAATTTTTTGCTTTGTCTTTTGCTATTTAAAACGGATATTTGACCATTTGTCCCTTAGTTACGTTTTAGTTAGTGGACGGCAGCATTCGCGTTGCAAAGGCTGGTCGTCTCACGCGGCTCTCATTATATTCGAATGTATGCGTCCTCCTTGCACGCGTTTGGGCACGCGGCGTGCGTGCACACATACAAGCCTTGCAGCTAGGTTTGTATGGAGTTACCATACTTGTCTTTATATATTATGGTCAAATCGTCAATAATGAAAGTAGTTAATAAGGTAGGGTTTGGAAAGTTGATTGCATTGCCTATTATGTAGCCTCATTAAAGAAAACGAATAAAGAGAGACGACCTAAGTTATCACACAAGCATAAATTTATGTAATGATATGTGCCTTCTTGAGCGTCGAGCCATGGTAACTATTATATAACAAAAATAGCAAATAGCAAATGGTTTATTAACTTATTTTAACATTACAATAATAGTTAAATCAAAACTGCATTTAATATATTATGTACAGTACAATTGCACTTTCTTACAAATAAGTCTCAGACTTGATCTGCATATTTAAAATTAATCATATATTTCCATAATATACACAAAGTAATATTCAAAAATATCTACAAATTTATTGATAATTTCACCAATACTGATAAATTTAATAAAATCATCATCACTCACATTTTAATAAACAAAATAATGAATCGTAAATTCCTCATTATTTGGCATACAATGGCTCCCATTCAAAGTTCAGTGGAATGATACAAGATTATGCTGAACAATATTTGGACGATCTTTGGCACTAAAATCTTACGTCTAATAGTCTCACAGTAAGAACCAAAGACGGCGTCAATTTGCTACGTTGCTGCATTGTTTACAACTTCTAACTTACAACTAGGTTTGTCTTAAGTCACGGATCATACGAGAGAGTTCGACTAGCTAGTCATTTTCACTAATTGCACCACCCCTATACTTTTGTCTTTATACCCCGGGTATATCACATCATATCACTTAGTGTAGAGTACATCACAATTATTGTTAGATGGTCAATGTTGTCATACGATGTCGTTGACTTCGATAGGGTGGTTGGCTTTTTGGGTGCACTTGCGTATTGCATCGAGAATGATCACAATTCGCCGGTCCAGCGCAGCTAAGTGAGGTTCCCATAATATAGGTGACACCGGGTCTGCTTTCATTGCCTCTCGAAGAACTTTTGATAGAGGCTCCCCGTCATGAAATCTGTAACAGAACCACGTGATGTTTAAGTCATGACGGCATCATATTATACTCCTAGAATGTGTTTTGTGTGAAAGTGTGTTACATTTGTGACTCACTAGGTTTACTATTCCCTATGGCTTCTAAACTGAACGTTAAAAACTGTTTATTTTCCATTATATTGACTTACTATTGCATTGAACAGCTATTAGAAAAAATCCTACACCTGAAAATTATATACAATAATTATAGCATTATGTCGTGATTATGTAACAAATTTAATGATTGCGAAGATTTGTCGAAAAAGCGGTTTTTATTCTACTCTGAAGTTGCACTATCGTTCGCACTTGTTTTTTTTCCAAAAGAAGGGGGCAAAGAAGAAGTTACTAAGCAAAACTCTACATTACATACTTGATTAGGGTAGCGAGCGTAGTATGCCGAACGAGGCAGCACTGCAGCAGCGGTGCTAAGATACTCAGTTCGTCATGATACGCCTTACCGAACGCGCGACCCTGGTCCAGATGGAGCGTGAACGACTCGTTGCCGAACATTCTGCAATGATGCGTCCGGGAGTTAGTAAATTGGTCATATCCACATCAGACTGTGATGATAGTCTGCTACCGGTCAATGGTCACTCTAAAATACAGTATTGGATGTTGGAGCCATAATAGTTATTTTTTATTGTTTTTTTTTAGTTTGTTTTTTTAAATATAGGTCGGTTTGCATTATTGCAATTTTTTTAATTGTACTATAAAACACTTATAAATCCAACTGCGGAGCATTTAAGGAGATTAACAGTTGATCTCTTGAAAGTAAAAATACTTGTGATTAAAAAAGTTACAGTTATACTTTACTGCGTTTCTAAATTATACACAAGAGACGATCTATTTTATTTATGAAAAATAAATTGTAGCTACTCGTACAACCACCCAACTGACCCAACCAAGTGAAGCGAAAAGAAAATAGTCCACCTCTAATTGGTTCACTCAGTTTGCCGGGTGGGTGTTCTCTATACTCGCCTTCTCAGCTTTATCACTGATGGAATCACACCATTAAGCTCCTATTGGGGAAAAAAATCCAAGGCGAGTACTTCGAAAAGAGATGGGTCAATACAACTGCGAAGGTAATTATTCACATAAATGATGTAAACTTAATATTCAAGTAGCGGGCATTAAATTGTAGAAAGGGTAAGATAAAACCTGAAAAAAAGTGTCAATGAAATATAGGTACTAACTTGAAGGTCTCGTAATGATGACGGTCCATGTTACCAGTAAGGAAGTCGAAGATGGACATATCCATCAGGTCTAGAAGTCGCCTACCCGAATCGTACGGTGCAGTCGTCCTGACCTATGTAAAAAAATAAAGAATGAGCGAATGGAGTAAAATATTGTTTAAGCGCGCAGACCTCAGGTTATCCTCCATCTGAGTCATTTTAATTTTTTAAAGGTTTTAATTTTGTTTTAGTAAGAGTAGGGATCTTTGATGAAGTATTGCCACCATACCTATTGCTGCCGCCAAGCAGTAATATCAGCGTTATTGCGTTCCGGTTTTGAAGAGTAAGAGTGCTGGTGAAATCACGACATGTCAACTTCTTTCTAACGGTGACGGGCGCAGTGGCAGTGCCCCTCAGATCTTTGTGATTTAAACCTCTGAGTAGCATTGCAACTGTCATGGACAGGTGTGCCGCTTACCACCAGGTGCACGACTTTCCCGTCCCGTCACTTTGTATTTTTTAAAAATTCAACAAGGTACTGTGGCTGCTAAAGAACTATTTTGTAAATGATTTATAACTGAAAACACATCCGTCTAGGTCGTTCCGTGATTAGTGGATAGTACCTAAATCAAGAAATGCAACCAATGAACCCTTTTTGACTTTTTAATCGACTTGAAAAAAAGGAGGAGGTTCTCAATTCGACTGTATGTTTTCTTTTTTCTTTTTTGTATGTATGTTACGCGATAACTCCGGAATAATGAACGGATTTTGATGATTCTTTTTTGTTGGAAAGAGGGTACCTCCATAGTGGTCCCATTTGTGGTGGTGGCTGTTCACGCATGAAGATTCACTTTTATAAATAGCGCCTAAATTTTACTATAAGGAGCAATGGCTGATTTTGCTATTTTCCAACGCAAGGCCTTTTTTTCTCAATATACTTTGAGTAGTGAGAACCAATTTTTATTATCCACCAAGAACCAAGTTTTGTATAGTGGCAAACCAGGGGATGAATCCGGGATTGGGCACTTTCCGGTAACCGATTTCAATTAAACTTGACAAATAGATGTAATTCCACGAACTTTTGAGATCGGTTTTTTTAGCACTCTGTGCTGAGATTATGTAATATGACTTTTCAATTCAAATACTTTTAATGTAAATTTTAAACTTGGGAAATGGTAATCTGAATATATGCTCCGGAATATTATTGTAAAAACGTATACAGTTCCCCTTAAAATAATCGTTTACCTTAGCTAAACGAAATCGTGGTACCATGAGTTTGGACTTAGTTCTAGAATAAAGGTTGATTTGTATTTGCTAGTTAAAATGTATTTTTAACCGGCTTCAAAAAAAAAGGACGAGATTCTCAATTGGACTGTATGGTTTTTTTGTATGTATGTTACGCGATAACTGGCATCGCGGCATTTGTGAAGCGATTTTGATGATTTTTTTTTAGTTGGAAAGAGGGTACCTCAGAAGTGGTCCCATTTAAATTGGAAACTTAACTAAACTAAAGTAAACTAGGTGATTAATGACTTTTGAGGTCGGTTTTTTAGTACTCTGTACTGAGATTAGGTTATATAAGTACTAATTCCTGGCCTCTATTTACTTCGTTAAAGCCATTGTGCTTCGTGCTCCATGTTTCTGCGAAACGGCCTTAGTGGGAAACTCTTGTTGATGGGAACGGAACGGAATGTTATGTAGTGAATATTACGAAAAATTTGATTGAAGTATTCATCTTCTTCTTCTTCCCTATATTTAAGAGATATGCAGGAGGCATAAAATTACTTTGTCCTGTTATAATAAATAAGTCGGAAGCTGATGTCGCTCTCAAACACGTTACTAAAACTTGAAACTTATAAAATGTCGTTCTACTTCTTCTATCATAACTGATAATTATCCGACAATAACTCATGCTGATTTGTAGTATTAGTATGTTCCACAAATCCCCACTAAAAATCCCCACCGGTGAAGATCCTGAAATTTTATTTAATCGCCTCCGTGGCCCAACAGTTACCATACTGGACTGCCACTCAGCGGTCGCGGGGTCGATTCCCGGGCCGAGAGAAATATTTGTATGGCCTACACTTAATTCTCTTGTGAGTTTGGATGTAATTTGTGGTTATCTATGTATGTGTGCATGGCACCCGCGATAACAGGGTTTCCCTAGTGCGGGGATATGAGTGTGTGCGTTGTTATTAGTATTATTAAATTTCATTCCACAAATCCCCACGAACGTACTTGTTACTTAGTACTTGCTATGCAGTGGGGATTTATGGAATAAAAATCTCCACTAAGATATTACTTTATATATTAGGGATATTCAAATTGTAGGTCTCGCCGTAAATACCGATATCTCTTTAATTTTTGAATAAAAATGATAAAAATGAGAAAACTAAACAAACACTAAAAAAAATCTTTGAAAAAATGATTTGGTTTGTGATTTTTTTGAAATCAACATTTGACACATTTAAGCACGTGTCTGATATAAATACGTTACACAATGTTGCTAGCGGTAGTATCTTGTTGTTCCAATTAATTTTGTAAATGTCAAGATAATTATAAAGGTATACAACAATGATAATTATCACATCGAACCCTGATTTAATGGACAAGATTATCTGAAAGATTTTCAAGTGTTTTTGGCTTTTAGAGTATAGTCTTTTTTGTCAATTTTAATTTAATCAATAAGTCAAGAACTATGTAATTAAAAATTATTGTATTAACAATTTGAAATGTGTAAAAAATTCTGTTATTATGATAGCTCGCCTGACCTAGATGCTTCATTTTCATGTTGTGACTCCCCATATTAGACTTTTAACTTGTCTACGTTCGGAATTTGGTTTTATTTATCTTATAAAATATACATTACTATTAATAATATAAATTTCGGAGATAAGAGAGATTTTTGTCAGTAAATCAATAACATAGGAACGAAATTTTTTTTGTTATGGACTCCATATCCCAATTGACATAAATCAAATGTACTGCTACTACCAAAATGAGTAATTACACTGATTCTATGCCTACCAATTTTTACAGATAAAAAAATGATAAAATTATGATAAAAAATAGTACAAAGAAATAACTTTTTTTTATTGAAAAATATCCCAACCTCCATATCGCCGATGGGAAGTGACGTTGAGGTCGACGATGGAGCATGCACAGATAAGTAATGCCCATTCGTTCTCGCCTTGAAAAGACCTAAATCCTAATAACGAACTAGTATTTTTTTTTAGACTTGTGAAACGAAATGACGATGTCCCGTAAAACCAGTATATGTTACATCATTTTAATTCTTAAGCTAATTTGTAATCTGTTTGTATAATAAATTTAAAAAAACTAAACCTCTACGAAATAACTGATTACAATGAAAAGATACATGCGTACGTATGCCTTTATAAACTTGTATTCATTTATGAGAATGAAAACGATATGATAATAAAATAAAATGCTATAAATGTAAGAATAGTCAACTTACAGTATCGCAGTAATCAGACTGCAACTCCCATTGCGCTTTTCGTCGTTTATGGTAAGATCTTCTCCATGGATGCCGCCACACCTGCAATTAGAAGGATTATAAAAATACTAGATTTAAATCGCATATATTTGTTATTTCAAACAAACCCACATTTCTCAAACAATAACAAGTCATCGGTTCTCTCGGGTTTGTTTAAGAAAACAAAAATATACGCGATTCTGATCCGAAAAAATAGTTTCACTTTCAGTGTGTGACAAACGCCAAAAGCTTAGATTTCAATATTATTAAAATTGTTACATAATAGGGCATTACTGTGCTATAGAAAACAAAGTTAACTTTTAAATTATAGCACCTGGTTCTGTACCCTCCGTGAAAAGTGCGCTAAGTCAGAATTTCCTGTTTTGAGAAAATTGATGAATTTTTTTGGTATGTGTTGTAATTTTGAAGTAGTTACATAGAAATATTTTTTAATTACAATTATATGTATATACAATTACAATGTCAATAGCTTGGTTTATCAATAATTGCATTTAACTTTATACATTCTCAACAGGAAAGCATAAAAGCAAATTGTATCATTTAACACTTGCGTTAAACGTTAAAGTAACCTGAATGATAATATTAAAATAAGTTCAAACAGATTTAATTAGTTATTATTATTAAGATTACAAGAAAATAAAAAACAATGGAAAAGCTGCAAACACCTTCTGCCAATGTCACTGTGGTCTATTTTTGCTATATATTTTTGCATTGTTAATGAAAGACTTGTAACATCAATCACAAGTGATTTATTTTCATTCAATTGTGTGTAAATAATATAATTGCCTTAGAATAATAACGCATAGAAACCTAGTCCGCACACGCTAAGTGAGGCAAATTGAAGCGCGCCAAAAGGGCCTACACGAGTGGGCGGGCCTTCAATGCTCAAGGTCAACTTGCACCGCGAACAGATCAAGAATTTTAGTTAAAAATGACGAAATATGCGGTAAATGAGTGTAACAATACGTCAGACAAACATAAAATAGATACTAACATCACATTGCACAAGGAAGTAACACGTTTCAACTTGTATTTTCATATAAATATTCACAAAAACCGATAAATTAACCTACTACTAAAACTAGCCTACATGAATTTGATTTTTGCCTCACTTGTGACAGTTCGTTTGATATGAAACTATCATTCTATGCGTTATTATTCTAAGATAATTGCAATAAAATCAGTACTCACAGTCGCATGCGGCTTAAATTTTTTTTAATAATACGATTGAGGCTGTATTGCTTTACACTTAGAATTGAAGTATGACTACGAAATTGTATATGTGTGTGTACATTTACATTACAGTACACGAGTAAATTGTCAGTTCTGAAGCAGTTAGAGTAGTGGCTATTAGGCGAAAACATACAACATTTCACACATTTGATGAATTATATGACGAGTATGCTTAATATAACGAATTTGACATAAGTCGAGTCAGCGCACTTTTCATGGAGGGTTTAGAGTTGTAGCGATAGTGACTTTAGTGATAGATACAACATTTTAGTAAATAAATAAGTAATAGTCGAGTTTCAAAGATCTGACATAGGCTAGTACAGCTCTTCTACGAAGAAAGGATCAAAATATCTTTTATTATTCATAACCACGCTACCTTTCGTTCTGCCAAATCAGGCGAAGGTAGAAACGCAGCAAAGCTCCCCTCAAGCATATCAGGATTTCCACAAATCGCATGTCCAGTATCGCAATAGTAAGAGCATTTGCCATGGAAGCAGAAATTGTTTGCCGGCGACACGAAGAAAGTCTTCAAGATGTCTCCTTCGGTGACGTCGTAGATTTCCGTTGTCATGTTGAGCACTCGGCCCACGACGGGCATCGCGCGACGGAAACCCAGTATCCTGAGATGAGTTCACAGTTAATAGCTGCAATATTCTGTTTCTAAACAGGATCAATTTGTAATGCCACTCGACCTACATACTAATAGATTTATCGCAAAATCAGATACTGGCGGGAATGAGATCTTCCCCTTTTCAAACTTGTGCCAATAGAGTTTATTGTTTACTGTGTATTTTACATAATAATAGCTGAAAAGTGTTGCTATTCCATAAATTATTTTCTCAATGATAAACACTTAAATTTAAATCGTTTAAATGATACGTACCTATTGTTTTGCGGACTATATAAGTATTTTGATTTTAAATTAGAATTTAATTTGTTTTTAGCTATTTGTTTCAATTCCATTGTAATTGACAATTGTAATAAAATACTCAACTTAAACGTATATATAAAGATATTCAATGAACAACTAAAAAAATACAAAAATGCTAATTACAATTTGAATGAATTTTTCGAAAATAAAAATTAAAAGATATGAATTAAATCTATTATTATAAAATACTTACATAGCACAGAAATAAAGTAAGAGATTAATTATAACTTAATAGGCATATTTAAATTTTTAACATTGTTCAATTTTTTTGAGAGATTTGTTTTTATTTATAATATAATTTTCTTCAGCTTTCTGTTTTTTTTTTGCTATTACATTACACGGTGTCCAATAAAAAGGATTTATATGTTATTTCAGATCTTTGTCTACTTTGTATGGAGCGATCACGTATTATGTAATGTATTTAGCTTGATTTGTTAGTGTAACGATGCAAATATGCATGCCTTTTCTCTCAAACGTCTTAAATCATTCAGGTCATGGTTAAAGGCATTGACCCCGAAAGGGTGCATGTCACTGTGATATGTTTAAGATTAAAGAGTTGAAAATACAGAAGCAAAAACATGTATGTCTAGTAAATAAATGACACTTACTTGTCTAAATGGAACGCGGCTATCTCAGCATTGTGTCGTTCATAATCCGAAAAGTAGAAATGATTTAGTAGTGTTTGTACATTTCTTGGAAACCTGTAAACAATTTTTTTTTATATAACACCAAGCGACGGGACGAACAAATCGTGCGCCTGATGGTAAGCGACACGCCTGTCCATAACAGTTGAAGTGTCACTCAGAGCTATAAATCACAAAGATCTGAGAGGCACTGCCACTGCGCCCGTCACCCTGATACATAACTTGATGAGTCTCATGTGCTTGTAATTTCACTAGCAGCGCCTTACCCTTCAAAACCGGAACGCAGGAACGCTCGTATTACTGCTTGGCGGCAGAAATAGGTAAGGTGGCAGTACTTCCCTGGACGAACTCCTTCACAAGGAGCTCTACTGCTGCTTAAAATATGTTTATATAGTACCATTTTTTTACATTACTGCACGTAGTAGTTCGAGGTTCAAATTTCGCTGACCTCCAACAAAGATGGCTGTCTACTAAAATCAGAACGTAAAGTCAATTCTTTTAAAACTATCCACTTGCAAGTCTCGCTAGAGACAATAAATCGAGCTAGCATTGGATGCCGTATATTACGGAGATCGTTGCTATCTAACCAGATTCACGATTTAAGACCGCTTTAATCGTTTTGTTCCCATGAAATTGATAAAGTACCACATTCGAGTCATTAGAGCCAAAGCACTTCTGACTCCATTTGTTCCAACGAGTGTAAGTAACGTTTCCTTTTCCTATCTTGACGTTTTTCATTATAATAAATTATACTGGAAAGGACAAGGGTCTCCATCAAAAGGCGATATTTGATATTGCTCTTTAGGGATTTATGTCACTTGGTTTCAATTTTCGTCGCGGATACCTGGAGATCGAGCTCAAGTTATGCCCTTGTAAATTGCAAAATTGTTACTGTTCTATGTTCTTTCACAAAAATCGCACTTTCATATTTTAAAGTCTCCAAGAAGCGTCTCAATGAAAGCGCCTACGTCGTATTTTAAGATAAGATAGCATGACACCAAAGACTGTTGACCCTTAACAACATTATAATTTGAACACGTACATAGGCACTGTAGTTAATGGCATCATGTTTATAAATTATCTCTACGTTACCCTTAAGTTAAGGAACATGGATGATACGTGTGTATCTTGAAGTACACTGGTACTATTATTATGACTAGCTTGATGCCCGCGTTTCGATTTGCTTCTTGGGTTATAATCGTTTTTGGTTAAACTAGATATAATTATTTCATTACTTAAGACCCCAGTTCATAACTGATAAGAAAATATAAACACCCTACTCGTAGTGTGAAACTACGGACCGTTTATCATCTTTATCTGTCTCATTACGAAACCTTTCCTAGGAAACGTCCTTACTTTTCCTGATTCCTGAAAGAGTTCTTCAACTAATATTTACTTTAATTTTCACTTAAATTACCCATTATAAGCTATTTTTCCCACTTTGACAGTTTACTCACTTTTCATGATCTTCTCTTTTTGATCTTCAGACCTTGGCATAGTCTATTGCACTGATAGTATCTCCGAACTTTGCCGTTCGTTTTTCGAATGCCAATTACGTACTATTTCATCAATTTCACTTTATAAACACATTTATTTCGTATTTAATATTTTGGTATGTTGACATTGATTGACATATCTATTATTCCTCTACAATCTATTCTTCCGTAGACTATCCTATAAATTCCTCCTTCCTTTGATATGCAATCTTGGCAGTAGAAGCGTCTCCGCTCTTGGCCGCTCACATTTTGGGTCCTCATTATAAATTGAAAATTCGCTATTCGAATTTCGATGCTCTTTCTGGCTGTATCAATCGCTCCTCATTCCTATACCGACCTTCGAGCTATCAAGTCTTCAGAACAAAATATACGAAGCCTCATCTTTCTTACGCCTGGAGTTACTCCTGCCGCGCTTATGCGTCTGCCTGAACTAAGTTCCTCGATTACCCACTTAAACCTGCTCTTACCTTTACGTTCTGCCTATCTGAACTGGGCGCTTCGCCTTGCCTTCGCCTAACTGCAACCTTCACCTCGCCACAGTAGCAGCTGAAGCCTGTGCTGCATAACCGCCTCTGTTTCTACGACAACCTCTCCTCTCTCCACCTCTACGCCAAACCCGCTGCTCTCCGGCTGTACACCTCTGCCCTCGGTCTCCAAACTTGGAGGGCACAGGCCTCCAACACCGTGTATATTACTTCAATGTTCCTCTTCCTCTACACATCACACAACTCTCCTACATAACATTCTCAGGCTCTTTTTGATATAAACGTATTGTTATACTTTATCATTCTCCATCCTTTTGATTTCTCTCTCTCTAAACCGACCTCACAGCTCTCCGACATACTCTTTTCTTTTACAACCCTGTTTTCTGCTTTCAAGGACACGTTTGCATTACTAACAATACCGCGTTTAGTTGATTTCAAGAGTGTTGCTATTACACAAAACGTAAAGTGCATAAGACCTAAATAATAGAATAAAAGAACCGGGTAATCCGTTTTAATTAAAATCCATTTAGCCGTTTTGTAGCCTATTTTGCACAAAGACCATGTTTTAGGCAAATAAATTTAATTTAACTTCATCACAAAAATCCAAACAGAACCCCAAAAACAATAATTTATGCTTAGATATCGTGTCAACAGCATTGATATGCTAAACGCAGTCGCTTAGATATTGGTATGAATTCTTAATCACAGACATGTTTGTACAGTCCAATTTTATATACATTTGCAATATTTTTTTCATTTTGATACCAAAGTGTTGGGGTTCTTCATTCATAAATTGATCAATCCCTCGTAAGTAAAAAAATCGTAAGCCCATATTCTCAACTTTACAGGGGAACGTTTTAATGCAACAACTGAAAGGACTAAAATGAGCTTAATAACTGCGATTTTCGATGTATTGCAACAAAATGAGATACATAGTGATTATTTTTCGTGCTTTATAATTTTGCTGCTCCGTGTAATAGACCTACATAAAAATAAAATTGTTTATGATCATAGGCACATAGTTGCATTTTTGTGACTTACGAAAGATTATGTAGAAGGAGTCGAAATGATCAAGCCGTCTCATAGTTAGTCTATATACACACATCAAAAGTGTCTAGGGATCAAGTACGTTTAAGAGTATTGCTGCAATTAGGGTTAATTATATTAACTTTTTTGTATCGCTATTGATACTTTTTAGTGAGTTTTAACATTTAAATAAGGAATATTGTTTAAAATTCGATAATAAAAAGAAAATCGATTGTCAATGTGGTTTTGTATAAAATTGAGTTATAGCGTTTTGACAAAATCATTACAATATCTGAATCGGAACCGAAACAATTTACATTATTATGGAGAGACGACATCATTTAACCCGAGAAGTGATGATGCGAGCCGTCGGAATGTTGGAAGCTGGTTCCAGGCAACGTGCTGTGGCTTTCGCTCTTAACACTACACAGAGCGTCATAAGTCGCCTCTGGACGCGCTATCGCATGACGGGCAGCGTGGCCGAGCGACATGGAGGACGATCTCGCATCACGACTCGCAGACAGGACCGGTATATCCAAAATACTGCTCGACGGAATCGTACCATGACCGCCATGATGTTGGTTACGAGGCTCCACAGCTCCTCAGGCTTGCTAATAAGCGATCAAACAATCCGAAATCGTTTACGTGAAGTGGGTCTGCGATCCCGAAGGCCGCTCAGAGTTCCACCTATTGCACCCTGCAATCGCAGGACCCGTTTACGATGGGCTCGCGAACACAGAAACTGGGAGGAAGAAGACTGGCGCTATGTGTGCTTTTCGGATGAATCCCGCTTCGGTATGAGACCGGATACAAGACGTACTCGAGTTTGGAGAACATCTGGACGTCATGAACGTTTGAGATATTGTCAGGAAGTTCATCCATATGGTGGGGGAACAATAATGATATGGGCCGGTATTTGGATCGGCGGAAGAACCGATCTCATTTGGATCAGGGGTAACCTCAATGCTCAAGTTTACGCAGAGAGGATTGTTTCAGATGTTATCATCCCTTTGCGAGGCCAGTTGGGTGATTCATTTCAACTAATGCATGACAACGCACGTCCACACACGGCTAGAGTCGTAACACGCATTCTTGCCGAAGCTCGTATCAACGTTCTGCCGTGGCCTGCTCAATCGCCAGACCTCAATCCAATTGAGCACGCATGGGATATGCTTCAAAGAAGAGCTGTGCCGAGTATGCATACCGTACATACTCTACAACAATATTTTGACTTGTTACAAAACACATGGGCGGCCATTTCTCAAAGTGATTTTGATGAACTCATCTTAAGCATGCCAAATCGCTGTTATTGTGTGATTCGTGTTAATGGTGGAAATACAGATTATTAATTTTCTTATCTTTACAATAAAAATGAGCACAATCATCATTTTCGTCATTTTTTTGTCATTTAATTGACGCCGTTAATTTGAGTTTTTTCCCACAATTTGCAAAAACATCAATTTTAGTATATTTTAATTAAATATAGGGGTAAGCGGTTAAATAAAACATAAGCATTAAAGTAAGAAGTCGTCCTGGAAGACTGGATTTGGTAAATATTGCTTAAATAATTTTTATTTCAAAAATATTCACTTGATCCCTAGACACTTTTGATGTGTGTATTTTGAATTTGTTGGAATATCTACTTATTTTCAGATTTTTAAACTAAGATATTCCTGGAAACGAGACAAAGAAACAGACGCATTGACAACTCTAGTTTTTTCAAGTTGCTTAAAAAAGTTCCATATTCCACATCGCAATTTACTACATTGAATACAAACTATGGGCGTTGTTCCATAACGAAAGTGAACATGAATCTCAACGACATTTAAAGCAATTTCAATCGTTCCAAAAACATCTTACTGGAAATGAAATGATGTTCTTTCGAATCAATTTTTTAACGTTTATTTTTGTCAAACAAACCAATGTTCCGGGCTCTTTGCAGTGTCCCATGGTTCAGTGATTATTCAGCATGGGAAGGGATATTCTTTCAAGAACCTGATCGTCGATTACAATGATCGATGGCCGGGCGCCAACTTCGTGTCTTATCTCACTGCATCTTATCGTCTTTTGCACTTACACGTTTGAGTGCAAAATTTCTGTGTACTTCTCTTTGTACGAGGCGGTTTGATTTTAAGTTTAAATAAAAACTTTTTCGGAGTTTATTAATATAATTTATGAATATATTAAACCGTAAGGAACTGGAGTTATTTTTTTTAAATTAGCTTGAAATGTAAAAAGATTGAAATAAAAAAGTTAGGTGAGTTCGGTATATTTTAGAAGATGTAGAGAACGGATTATTATAATATTAATTATTACAGCACCCCCTTATTCACGGGATTTGGCCCCATTTGACTTTTTTATCTGATTTTTTACCGATTTGCATCAAATGAGGAAGTGAAAGTTAAGAAAGTTTCAGATATGAAACATCAAAACTTATTCCCTGAATTGTTGTTTGTTGTTGTTGAATTGCCTGCCGCTGCCTGCAGACTTGTTCCCTGAACGTTATAACTTGTACCTAGCCAAGGCGAGAGTGAATAGGCATTATTTAGGTGTGCATGCTCCATCGCCGACCTCATCGTCACTTTTCATCAGGTAAGATGGAGGGCAAATGCGCACTTACATTTTTATATAAAAAACACAGAGGCTTATTTTCAGTTTGACAAAAAATTTTTTTTTCTTGGGTTTAAGGAGCTGGAATATAGCTGGTCAAGGTGAATAGAGTTAAAAGGAGAATACACAGAAAAATAAACAAAATTAAAATAATCTCAGTACTAAAAAACCAACATCAAAAGTCATTCATCCCCTAGTTTGCCACTCTTAGAGGTGGAATATTTCTTTCAAATTTAAATGGGACCACTTCTGAGGTACCCTCTTTCCAAAAAAAAAAATGATCAAAATCGGTTCGCAAATGCCGGAGTCATCGCATAACATACATACAAAAAAAAAACACAGTCGAATTGAGAACCTCCTCCTGTTTTTTAAAGTCGGATAAAAAAATGTTTTTTTTCTTCACAAAGTCACGAACTCATCAAACCAGGGGTTTGTACTATATATTGTACTAGCCCAAAGGCAATCTGTATAATTAGCCTAAACTCAAAAGTGTTTAGGACGGAGTCTTAGTTACTATGACAACTTCGTTTTCTTCTATTGTTATTGAAATCAATTTTACTACCTATAAATTTGAGATCTGCTATTATTAATTGTTTTATTAGTTTAGTATTAAATCACTGGAAGTCAGAAAATGATAAATAAAGTTACTCATAACTTTTATATTTTATTTTATAGTTAAATATTTTTCGAAAATGTTCTGCGACGATGTGACTGATGATGGTACTCGTTTGTCTAAGAAATATGTGTTCCTAAAGTTCCATTCGTACCCATGGTATAACAAAGCCACATGTGGTTATACGTCAAAAGTGCTTCTAGCACATGAAAGTCACAGCAATAGTATAACTATATAAAACAATTTTTTTATAATATCATTTATATATTATGTGAAATTCTCCTATTTAAGCGTAAAAAGTTGTCTACTAATTTCGTTCCAAGAAATTTTAAACCTCCCTCCTGAAAAGTTATCATTTTGCATATGTAGTCTTATTATACCAAGGGTGCGATAAAATTATGACCTATTTTAGATTCGTGCCACCCCTATGGCTTACTTGACTTTTCACATTTTTAAATGAGAGAAGCGGTATAGATAAAATATCTTGTTATACCAATATCAACACGAAGGAGTACGAACGCGCACACTACACATAGAAATATTTTTGAACGACGAATGAGCGGTATACGGAAAAACTTAGTTAAGTTTATGTTATACTGGAATGTTTTGTTTTTTAATACTTTTAAATGTAATAAATACAATAATAATAATACCTTGGTAGTTTCTAAATATACACAATATATATGTATATTCCATGACAAAATGTGCGTTTCAATCCAATGCACATTACGGGATAAGTTTATTGAACGTGAGTTCCTGACCCCACGACAATGTCATTTGTCGACTAATACCACTTCTCCTATAGCCATAGGGGAGGTTTACTTGAATTTTCACATTTTTAAATGGGAGAAACGGTATTCATCGACAAATGGCATTGTCGGCCGTGGTCAGGAACTTACGTTCAAGAACCGAACGTTACGAGCAGCACCACTTTCAATATTTGAGGTGGAAGCTAAACGCAACAAATCCAACCGCCTCAAGTTGCAATATCTAGCTGGGTGGAATTAATGCGTTCGCGGACAAAACGACAAGATCTTTTTCAATGGAGACCACACCCGACATATCGGTGGCCTCGGTATTATTATTATTAACTGAAATTACTGTTTCATCTATAAATATAACGTTGTACCATATTAACCGACTTCAAAAAGGAGGATTCGACTTTTTTGTGTTAGGTATGTTATGTGACTACTCCCATATTTGTGAACCGGTTTCGATGATTCTTTTTTTGTTGGAAAGGTACCACTACTGAAGTACCCTAGTACTGGTCACATTCAAATTTGAATAAAATATTCGTCCTCTAAGCGGATCAAATTAGGGAGTGAATCCGGTTTATTGGATTTCACTTTCCGTTAACCGCTGTAAATAAACGTAAAACCACAAACTTTTGAGGTTGGTTTTTATTTTTGTAAAAAAAAATATATTACTTTAACATGTTTACAAGTAAATGTTTACGAGTCTACCTCGCAAACATACAGAAATATGTCTACACCGATGAACTCAAACTAAAAGGTAAAAGTAATAAATACTAGGAGGCAAGGGTTACTATCGAGTGTCGATGTCACGTAATTTATAGTCCCCTTGTGAGAAGATCCACTGGACTTGATGTGTCGTCGGCTTAACCCCTCGAGTCCATAATTTTACCTACAAACCTTCTATCTTGTGGAAAAGCTAGCTGGTTATCTCTTCGGACATCCGGTTGTGGTACTTTTTAGGAACAGAAAGATCAACAACTTAATAGTTAGCTATTGTAAATATTCGACGTAAGTATATTATGCACACACTTGGCTGCAACGATCAGTTAGCACTAATTACACACTATCAAAAAAACAAATACGCACGTAATATAGAAATACATAAAGTGATCGCACAAAAGAGAAAGTGTTAGACAAAAATGACGAATAGAAACGTTTGTTACCCGATACCTGTCTTTTGGGAACAACTCGTACCTCTCCAGTGTTGACATTTGGATGTCTTTGTCTTGACGAAAATTTTATTTGATAGTCCCTGAAGTAATATCCGTATTGACGAGTTAAGGAACTACACGGAAAGGAAATTTTGTGTCATTTTTATTTGAAGTACAGTAATCTCTGGGGATAATAACAAAAACAACTGAAAATCGCTTTCAGATAGATTAAAATAGACCTTGGTAGTTTCTAAATGAACACTATATATGTATTTAGTAGCAGTGGAGGTCCTTGTGAAAAAGTTCGTCCTGGGAACGTTGCGATTGTACTGCCACAATACCTATTTCTGCCGTCAAGATATTACTATGTCAGCATTACTGTGTTCCGGTTTTGAAGGATAAGGGTGCTGGTGAAATTACAGACACATGAGACTTGGCAACTTATGTCTCAGGGTGACGGGCGCCGTGACAGTGACACTCGGCACTTTGCGATTTTAAACTCCGAGTGGCACTGCAACTGTTTGGACATGTTTGTAGCTTACCATCAGGCGCCCGACTTGTTCGTCCCGTCACTTGATATTATAAAAAAATGTGTACTCCATGACAAAACACACATTTCAATCTAATGCACAGTACGGGATAAGTTTATTGTGTATAACTTAGAACGCAATCCGTCCTTAACAATAGTAGGAACTGAAAACAACTTAAGGAAACTTGCTCTACTTCTTACCTATTTCAATAACACTTGTAGTTACGAACAAGCAAGCCGCTAAGCCGATCGTGCAAAAGAATGTTCTCGAACGTTCTCGAAGTTGTTGAATGGAAGCAACGCACAACACTCCAACAACAAGGTGACAGGAAAAAAGTTCCCTCAAGTCCTATAGAAGCATGCACAACTCCAAACTACACTTACACTAAACTTGCGAAAACCATGTATAAATAACCGGGTACGATGTGAGTTATGTAGATAGGATTTTGCTACTACTACTTGCATTAACACTACAATGCAAGTAGATTCATAGTAAAACCAAGATAGACTATAATAGAAGATAATTTTCTTCGTAAAGAAACATCATAAAAAATATCAAATACATGTCATACAACACATAATTACATTTTAGTAGCAGTAGAGCTCCTTGTGAAAGAGTTCGTCCAGGGTAGTACTGCCACCTTACCTATTTCTGCCGCCAAGCAGTAATGTTAGCATTACTTCGTTCCGGTTTTGAAGGGTGCTGGTGAAATTACAGGCACAAGGGATTCGTCAACATATCTCAGGGAGACAGGCGCAGTGACAGTGGCCCTCAGATCTTTTGCGATTTAAGGCTCTAAGTGGCACTGCAACTATTATGGACAGGCGTGTAGTTTACCATCAAACCCACGACTTGTGCGTCTCGTCACTTGATATTATAAAATAATAATAATAATTTGAATGTACTTACCTCATTGGTTTAAAGAGTGCTTGAATGCCATTAGGATAGTCAATGATAAGTTTCAGCTGCGTTCCACCCTCCTTTTGCTCTGTAAACAAAAGTATTTATTATAATTTCATATATTCAGCTATTAAATATAACCTTCATTTTAGAAGCAATTATCCTAACGATCGGATCAAATCAGACTACCTATAAATAGTCGTTGATCTATGCAATAAAGTCGGCTTACAATGAAATCCATTTAGGTGGTTTAAATATTCAAGTCCAATTGAAAGTAAAGGGTGAGATTGTTGTGGCGCTATTGTCCGCCGGACCCCACAACTGATTGCGGACCCGACTTCATTTAATATACATAACTTGCCTTGAGCTTTTGTATAGACACAGGTAGACTGTGCACAGCTTGAGACTTTGAGAAATTGTTAATGAATGTCTGTACCAAAAGTGGATATGCGCAAGTTTTGAGATTTAACATAAGATCAAGATCACAAGTTATCGTACATCCATACTGTTGAAAAGTTCACAGTTTGCAGCCTGCGCTCTACCAGCGTGGCTCACCTAGGTTTCTCGTCAACAGTGGAACGTACGTGGGCTCATTTATGCCGTTCAATGCGCTGCAGTAACTTAATAATTCGGTGTACCACTATTAAAGTTATATATTTTATACCGTTATTTACGATGATATCTACTTCAATTAATGTTAAAATAGCTATAATATCAATTCTATATTTAAAGTAAAAGCGTCATATAAATTAGGGTTCATAAAATCTTGTATCGTAAATTGTGTACCTTACTAGGTATTGTGGTGAAAAAATTTGTTTATATTGAATATTATTGTGTGTTAGTGTACCATTCTGGTAATACTTTTGTACATCTAACTGAATGGATTTGTGGTTGTGGGATGTCCATGTGTCCGTCTGTCTGTTCGGACGTAATTGCCTTTCTAAGTCTAATTAACGCAAAGTTGAATATTTTATTACTTACGCACTTTAATTTGAGATCGGGTTTAACGAAGGCGATTTGGAATTCATGTTACTTAAATCTATTTCTTTGCGATCTTTGGTCTTTGGATAATAGGTATCTTTATCTTTGGTAAATTTCTTACATTTCCAGTTGTATATTTTTCGCTGTTTAGTGAGTAAATTCTTTAACGCTCTGGTAGTTAAAAACAAATTATTTTTTATAAAAAATAGCAACAAAACCAGAAGTTAGTACAAATTGTTATTTCTGATTAGAATTGACAAATAACGTTCAAGATTTTGAACGTTATTTGTCAATGTACATTATCATGTCCATAATGATTTATTGCACTCTCATCATATTCACCTTAACTATTAAAACAAACTTACTATTATTTGGGCCATTATGCAAACTGTCATGTAACACACATGCGGTCAGGCAAGCACGCACGTGCATATGCACGCACACACGCACGCAATCACACACGCTCACACCCATATTAATGCACCACAAATTAATTTGTACAAACATCTCTCGCCGGGACTGGTAGCTGTAAAGGTACTAACTGGGTGATAAATCTGTCATAGATTTCTCATAGATGGCGCTACGACTAAAAAGTCGTTGAGAGACCAAGTACAAAGACACGACGCAAGCACATAGAGAAATTCGTGAGGTCCGTTGGTTCGTTCCGTGGCTTAGTTGGTATAGCGTCTGGCACGGTATGCAAAAAGACGTTGGTTCGAATCCGACCGGATCGAAGGAATTTTTTCTGAGTGTTTTTTCTGAGAGTTCGATCTTTGTATTAATAATTATAAGATCCATTGTTCTGCTGTTACAGTTTTGTGAAGGAAATAGAGAGATTTATTATTAAATGTATAAAAAAATGTAAAAAAACTTGCAATAAATACTTACCGGCGTGTAAAATAGGTAGAGTGGCCATGTCCTGAAGTACCGCTTCCACCAAAGGCTCCCCATCTTCATATAATTCGTGTTGAGCTATTTTCAGTTGAAACTTCTCTAAGTTTGACGCGTTCACACTACCGAGAAAAGTTATGCCGTTACAAGATATTATCAACAATGACTTAAATTATTAACAACAGTAATTTTTAAAATATTTTTAACGTTTTCTCTATTGGCAAGCTATTTGAAAATCTAAATATCTATCATATGTACTTCGACGATTACATCAAAAATGTATATGTGCCACATTATTCGCGATCACTTGGGAGAAACAATGTTTTTTTTTAAATTGGCCTTTAGTCCCCAATTCTCTTTGCTTAGGGTCATTGGAGATCAATGTTGCTCTGATTGTCAAGTCACCTTCTGCGGCCTGCCCCGACACCGGTGGGCGTCTTCTGGCCCTGTTATCCATAAAATAATGTACGCTTTCATGTTTGGCGGCCGTTTAGTCCCTGGCTCTTCTTTATTTTTTAAATTTCAATAAGGTACCATCTGCAACAAGCGGATTGTAACGCTAAACGCTCATACAGTATTAGCACGTACGAGTCTGTCCTGCTTTTGGCGTGCTATGAATTAAAATTGATCTCGCGAGACGTGGGAGGAGTAAAAAGGTCGATTGATCGGAACATTTTACTGCAGAGCTTTAGCACATACTCGTAAACCTGGTCGTTACCGTCGAGATTTACATGGAAGATTTTCCGCCGGTGGCGTGTTGGTTTTGGCTGCGTGGAACACATAAGTGGACGTGATTTGCCTACTAGAAGCGCCAGCGAGACTCCAGGCGACACGGTGTAGGACGGAACTGAATACTAAGGAGCCTACGTGTAACGTTCTCGATTTGTGGCATGCTCTGATAACCTGCATTTAGAAATCAAGCCGCCACCTGGTATAAAATTTATTGACTCTCTTTTCGTGTGAATCGTAGGCGTACCACCAGGGAATTTAAAGCTAGATTGTTCCGGTTTACGACAAATGACCTCTTAGAATCTAAAACGACTATAATTCAGTTCTATAGTACAGTAAAGTGGTGTACTTTAAAACAAATACCAGCAGCACAAATGAGGATCGGTTGAAAGTACGCTCATATCGTCATGTTTATGAATATGACAGAAACGAACTCGGAAAACAAGCGCTGAAATGATCCATGTATCAAAGTAACCCTTCCTACATGACACAGATCCAACCGTACGAGATCCCATCATATCATAAGGAAGCCTTCATGAATTCATTCCATTTAGTTTTATTGTCAAAGGACCGCGCCTATCTCGGCGAGCCCCGTAACTGGATTTTAAATAAGATGCCCTGTGAAATTTGCCTTACAAGATAAAGAAAAGGTCGCCTCCTTTTTCGACGCAAAATCGTCCTGTCGTGTAAGTATGATATTATGTTCTTTTTTATAGTTTTGTATCAAACGAAATCCTTTCAAAACGTATCTGAGCATGAACGATATGCGATATTCTTTTCATTCCTATCACAGTGTTCCTATGAGATTTGTCCTAATATTTGCTTTGGCGAAATTACGTCAACCGCTGGAGACCGGCGCGAGCCGCGACCAACCTGTTTGATTTTGATGCATACTTCAGAGCTTGGAGCGCTGCGCCGCGCTGCGGCCACTGGCGCCTGAAAGGTCCTCATTCCGAAACAGCAATTTTAAACCTAATAATGGCGCGGAACATTAAACATTCAAAATTTGTCAAGAGAAGCTATTCCTTGCAAGTGCCGATTATGAGGAAATTAGAGGAGTTCTCTCCGCTGCGACGTTCGCGTTATCAAAGTTTAATTGCAGCAATAACAACGAAGTAACTAACAATTTAATTTGGCGACTCGCGGAGCGGTACATAAATCGTACTTGTGGATGTCAGCTGTCGGGAACTTTGGAAATTTTCCTTGTAATGTCCCTAGCGCGTCGTTTTTCGCCGGAACAATTTTAATTAATATTTCTTAACGGGTTGGATATTCCTGTTATTTCGTACTTACATTGAACATAATGCGCTTTCAAAAACATAGAAAACAACTGCTGCTATTTATTCAAGGAACTCGGTTGGATTACTTATTATGATTCTTAATTAAATCCAGCCGCTATTGTGCTAAAATAATTAATTTCTGAAATATTATTAAAATCTTGCCCGTACCAAATTGTTCGAACCGTTTCAATTCACCCTCGAATTGAAAAATTTGTTACTAAGAGTAGTGTTATTTATTCCCTTGTTGTCCGTACATTATTTTTAGTGTGCAATATTTTTGTTGTATTTTACTCTTAACTATTTAAATCTGTGCAGTCCCAAATTGCGTAGACGCGATCGTAAGCCTACCTATTGATTGAGCTGCAAAATGATTACTATAATTGAGGCTATCAGCGCAAAATGGCGCAAACCACATATTTTTTTTACTTTGTTACTTTAAATGATAATTATAATGTCAATTAAGATATGTAATAATTATGTATATCACTTTTGCGCTAATAGTTTCAATTTGTAGTACCCAAAGCTTGCAGATTTAAAAAGTAAGTCCTGCTGAACACTTTCCCAGTAATGTTATGTCACGTGTTAAAAAAAACTGTTTATAACAATGAATAATAATATCCGAAACTATTTAAAACTAAAAAGAAAACACAACTTTAAGCAAACTCACCTCGGTTCCAAATCTTCCATATCGCCAATGGTTGGGTTTTCAGGCCTCAACACATTGAGATCTCGTTGCGGTGGTACAATGACTGCGTGGAGCTCCAGTTTTCCTTTCGATTGCTGCATAAGCACTTCCTGTAGATCATGATAAAGATCGATGGGGGGCAGAGGAGATCGCGCATCGGTGTCCGTGCCACTCAACTCGCCGGGAGCCGACTGCTCATACTCTTTGGACCCATTGCTGCCGTTACTGTTAAAAAAGTTTTAATGAGGCGTCTGCGTTAGGAAACAATGAGACACCGCTCAACTCAAGGAAATGTTAATGTGATGAAGCTTTTAATACCGACTTCGGTATAGCAATGTTTGTAGACAGAGCTTTACGTTTGTCACGAAAGCATTAAAGAACTGGCATTAAAGTCTTTAATTCTGATTTATCATTTTATTTCAAATTATCTTTATTATCTTTTATATCTTTCCTTACTATTATAATTTTTATATAATAGAGACGAAATGTTATTTCATAATTTGTTTGAAAACTATTCTGCCAAATCAAACTGCGCTCCAATTGGCCAGCTCGAATTTGACGGGTGTCGTCAATTGTTTCACTTCAAACCGACCAGTTTAACTTCAGCTTTGTTATAATGAACGAAAATTGAAAAATTACATATTTAATGTTTAATTACAGATAAAATGTGATTCCGTTTGTTTTGTAATTAGGTGTTTTGCTGTTTTTCCCACACCACCGAATGGAACAGCCCCCAGTGTTAGAGATATTATCTTTATTACAATAAATACATAATACTTTTGGAATATACGGAGACGTACACACAGGTCAGTTGTTGGCGTTGTACTATTTCAGTTTTCTAATTTGTGATTTCAGCGCAAACGAGAGTTGATTTTTAAAAGTGATATCGATGGGTCCTATGTATAAGGCCAAAGCGCAAAATTAAAATTTTACAGGAGGCTTCCAAACTTTCAATCTGGTATATTTTCAAGATTTCCTTGTATTTCGAGGTTTCCTTGAACATGTTTGATTTTGTTTTAACGCTACCTTATAGATCATAATGAAATGAAGCATTTGCCACAAAAAAGTGAAAATGATCAAATTGTTACTTTGGCCCTTATACTTAGGACACATCGGTGTAAGGCCCTTTCCGGTTCCGGTTTTGAAGGGTAAGAGTGTTGGTGAAATCACGACATGTCAACTTATTTCTAAGAGGTGACGGGCCTCTCAAATCTTTTTTTTATGTTATTTGTGATTCAAACTTAGAGGATGGAATTGGTTCCCGTAGTCTAAAGAATTAGAGCTCTAAGTGGCAGTGCAACTGTCATGGACGCGCGTGTCGCTTATCACCAAGTGCACAACATGTTCGTTTCATCACTTGGTCTCATAAAAAAATCGGCTTATATAGTTCTATTATATATTGTATCTTCAATTGAGAGGTGTACAATTTCTTTATAATTAATATAAAATTTAAACAGTGAAATATTAATTATGATTGAGCATTGTGAAGTTACCGAAGCGTATCTTTAAAAAGCACTCAAAAAGCACTTCTACTAAGATGCTTTTAAACTCAATACAATTAAAAATAATTCACAAATAGAAGGATCCGCAATGAAAATAATTAACAGCTAAATAATTGGCAATATTTGGTGAGGAGTAGTTGACTTATGCTTTATTGAGACATTGGTTTTGTTTCTTGAGAAAGAAATATACTAAACACATAAAGAGAAGACAAACTAAGTAGAACAAAAACATAGAATAAGGTAAATGTAATAAATAATATGTAGGTATATATTATTTATCACATTGAAATAATAAAATATATTTTATCACATTGAAGTATACTTTTAAATATAAGAAAATGTATACAGACTACGTATTTATTCTTTCTTCTTGTATTTATCTATCTACATTGCATTACATAACCTCTTTTATCCAAATAAGGTTAAAACCAAAACGAGTGATACGGTACAGTTTTAAGTATAAATAAAATAATTACAACTAGAGGCACGTCAAAGGTCTTTTTTTCAACGCATACACTCATAGCCCAGCTCCAGGGAAACCCTGTATCGCGGGTGCACACATTGCCAACCACAAATTACACCCAAACTCAGGAGAGACATAAATGTAGACCATAGAAAATTTTTCCCGGCCTGGGAATCGAACCCTGGAACTCTGCGTGGCAGACCAGCATGGTAACTGTTAGGCCACAGAGGCAATAGAAAATTAAGGGCCTATTTGAGACGTCTTAGTGGTCGTCGACTAGTTGGTTAGTTCAAATGGAGGTCCCGATGGAGGGACGAAGCGGAGAAAACCTCCGCGCCCTGAATGCAGAGAACTGTGGGGAGATCGCACGAGGCAGGGTGCGCTGGTGTCAACTCGTAAGGGAGGAGGGTTGGGTTGATTGAGGGAAGGGTTGTCAACTTAAGGGTGTCTCAGGGTGACGGGCGCGGTGTCCCTCAGAACTTTGCGTTTTAAAGCTCTGAGTGGCACTGCAACTATTACGGGTGGGCGTGTCGCTTACCACCAGGCGCACGACTTAGTCGTCCCGTCGTCACTTGGTATTATAAAAAAGTCACTTTTCAAACTAAGACCTGCGCTGCGAGCAAATTACGAAGACACTATGAAGTACAACTACGCCATACACAAATTAAGATCTAAACTGTTTTCTAATTTGTTTCTTCTGAGAATCGAACATGAAACCCGGAGTGCCTAACATTACTTAACCACGTAGGGTTTCAATAGACACATTTCTTGCTCCACTATCAGATTAGGTAATTAAAAAATTCCTTACTAAAATGACGGTTGTATGTAACCTATTCAATTTCAACGAGTCTCTCACAGTTTGATTGATACGTTGAATAATACTGTACATTCATTTTAAAAGAACTATAATTAAAGTTCGCTGATTTACTTAAATGTTTTGATCCGAGTAGAAATGATATGAATCTATTGTATTTTAGACAATTCTACGAAAATATATACTTGCTAGATATGACCGTAAACTCTTCAAAATTATTCAAAGAATTATTCTAGGAACGCATTTATTTTATTTAGTAATAATAGATGGTAATAACATTTGTCAAGTAGTTTACATGTCTTCTTTCAAAAGATAATAACAATGCTCACTCTCTCTCAGCCCTGTGATTTTACTTAATTTTGTTATGCCGCTTCGGACGTAAGTACATTATGCACATGCTTATGCAACGTACAAACATTACTACATTTATGAAATGTTGTAGAATGACAAATCTAACGACCGTACAGCGTGTCTATCACCATATCGAACCATAGTTATATTCTCAGCGGTTCACACGTCCCTTATAATACGATGCAAGAAAGCTAAGTTTTCTTTTTCCGATGAAAAGTTGTATACAATTATCACAAGGTTGCATTACATTACAGAGTTATGATAAACTTTAAGCGTTTATCGTTCGAACCCGATCTTATCGAATCAAATACGATGCAAAAAATGACTATGTTTTTGGGCTTCAGTCCTTTATTAGTAATTCTTTCTGTACTTCAAAGTTCATCACAATTAACAAATAATTCACAAAAAGTATACTCAAATTTCTTCCTATGCATGCAATTTAAAGCACCTTCTTATAGTATTTGCCATAGGATACATTATTTATTGCGACGCGTGCGCGTTTCAATGAAAACGCGAAATGGTGAACGATTTTTTTTTGCTTTTAGTTAAGATTACAGACCGTTGATTACTAGTATTGTTCCGCCATTGTTCTATAAAGCGTTGAGTACGGAGCTCATATTTCGTTTATTTAAACATATTTGTCCAGCCGAAACGACAAATTAATTAAGCATTGTTATAGAACAAAAGCATGTCTTTTATAGAACTTTTCTTTAAATTACTTCAATAGAAGTTGTCGACGTCTATGAGGACGACATTCAAACAAAAAAGATTTGTTTTGTTGCTTAGTAATAAAATATTGGCGCTTTTAGATCCTTCTACTTTCTTGTCTGACATATGACATATTGCAAACTCAACGATATTGGGTACTTTTACGGATTCATTAAATATATATACCAACTGACTTATCAACCCATTGGTTATTGGGTAGTGGAGGATGTTGACTTAAAAATGATGGTCCAGTACCGATTATTATTATTAAAAATGTATACTGCAATATCATTCAAATAGGAACTGATTCAAAACTAAATATTCTTGGTCTCGGTAGTTTATCACTTCGTATTATCGAATGAAAGGCATAAAAACTGCGTCAATACACTTAGGGCACAGTTAAAAATGATATAATTTTTTTTTTATCGCTTTCATATAAAAATATTACTGTGTACCCATGTCATTTGTTTGTATGTCTTATCCTTATCACACGGAATAGCGCTACGACGTCGATTTGCTACGAAATCCATACCTTTGTTAAAAACCTTAAATGATAACCATACAGTGGTGGTGGTAATAAAGAATGTGACTTAGTTTTTAATGAAATTAAACCATGACTACCAATATCGATTTAATTCCGCATGTGAATTTGATTTGTTAAATTTCTGATTCTGATGATCTGATTGGTTAAAATGAAAAGGGCTTTCTGACTTATTATTTCGCCGGTCATTGCATTATATGATAGACGTTAAAGAGAATACGTAAATCAGCATTTATTACGAGTACTCGTGCGAATTTTCTGGTAAATAGATGTCCTATACAAATTTTGTGTTATTGTGGTTAAGCTGTTGGATGGATGTTGAATTTTACATGAATCTAATATTTAAGGCATTGGCTTGGTTTGTTCGTTAAGGAGATTATTGGTATAGGTTTTCGTTTCTAAATTGTTCTGAGAAGGGATGAAACGGTACTTAGATTGTTCTTCGACATTACAAGGAGAAGGAGGGTTGTAAGTGGGTACCTTTTGTGAAATTCCTATACCTCTACATTCAAAAATTTTCCATGAATACTGACTTATTATTCTAGGATTGAAATTCAGCAATAAATTGTATTTAATTTTAAACTTACAGTTTTTTGTTGCATGAGTAATAATCGATAATTTTTTTCATTTTCAATAACTTAATTTTTTATTTAACTTAATTTATTATTGATTAAAATGCAGGGTTATAAAACATAATACTGTCACATATTTAAAACGGTAAACTAATTATTTCTATTAGTAATTTTTTTTGTCTGTAGTTTATCAAAAACAAATGGTTCTATAGTATTTTCAACTTTGATGATTATGTGAGATTCTATATAAGTTGAGAATATTAATGAAAATACAGGGTATTATTTGTATTTCGAGAAATCTTTGGTTATTTTGTGTTGAGTTACTAAAGACAGCAATAATAATGAAACTTATAACCCACTAAAGTATATATATAACTTATCGATAAAGCGGATCGATCAGAATGTGTTTGAATATCCGATAAATGGAATATAACTAATATTAGAATCTTATCTAATCAAAAAAGGTTATCCACATATCCATTAGATATAGTTATACCTATAGCTTAGCTAAATAAAGATTATGATACGGAAAAATTAATACACTTAAATGATCTTCTATTATCATTAATAAATAAAGTTCAATATAGACTGGCAAAATCATTGTTCGCGACCAGCTGTGACGCAGCCTCCGTTGTTTTTGTACTTCTTTTTTTTTTACAATTTTCATTCGATTTATAAAATATTTTTCGACAGTTTTTGCTTAGCAAAAGTTTGAGCTTTTGCTTTCGCTGCGCTGCCTTGTTCGGTTTTGAATTCAATGTTTCAAATTAAATGTGTTTTAATCTGCATAAAAGGTGTTTCCATCATACATACTCCACCAATCAACCTCCTGCAGTTCATGAAACATAGGCCTCTTCCAAGTTGCACCACAAAGGATCGTCAGCTTCATATATTAGGGGTTAAAGTATGAAATTGCCGTCTTATTGCAATAGGTTCTTTGAATTTTAAATATATATAACACACACACTCAACATAGAATCTTTCATAGAATCTTCATGGTTTGAGGTTTTCGAATGACACTTTTTTCAAATGGTTTCTGTGATTTTTTTTTTTTAATTTGAAACATTTGAATATCGACTTTCAATTGTTTTTGTTATTCAATTTAGACAAGAAAGATGGATACTGCGAAAATTCGAGTGATTTTTGAATACGAGTTCCGACGCGGAACTAACGCGGCAGAAACAGCCCGCAATATCAATGCTGCGTTTGGAGAGGGGTCTACTAATGAACGCACCGTGCGATTTTGGTTTAAACGCTTTCGTGATGGAAATTTCGACTTAAAGAACGAGCCACGAGGAAGACCGCCCACACAGGTGAATAACGATGAATTAAGAGAGATAGTGGAAGCCGATCCTAGTCAAACTACCCAGGAATTAGCGGCATGGTTTAACGTTACCTTACCCACAATATTGACTCACTTGCGTGAAATCAATAAAATAAAAAAATACGAAAAATGGGTGCCTCATGATTTGACTGATCTGCAGAAAGAAACGCGTGTTGAAACTTGTGTTGCCTTGTTGAACCGGTACAGAAATGAAGGAATATTGGATCGAATTGTAACATGTGATGAAAAGTGGATTCTTTATGATAACCGGAAAAGAAAAATGCAATGGCTGACCCCAGGTCAAATGCCACAACAGTGTCCTAAAGCAAAACTTACGAATAAAAAGGTAATGGTAACTGTTTGGTGGTCTCAGCATGGTGTTATTCACTATAGTTTTCTCCGATCTGGTCAAGCAATAACGGCAGATGTCTATTGTGCCGAACTCCGAACCATGTTGACAAAACTAGCAGTAAAACAGCCCCGACTCATGAATCGATCTTCACCATTATTGCTCCACGACAACGCGAGACCTCACACAGCACGAGAAACCATTTTGACCCTTCAGGAACTGCAGTTAGAAACCATTCGTCATCCTCCGTATTCACCAGACCTTGCTCCAACGGACTACCATTTTTTTCGTGATTTGGACAATTATCTACGTGACAAGAAGTTTTCTTCCCAGGAGGCAGTACAAAATGCTTTCACACAGTTTGTGTAGTCTAGATCGTCGGAGTTCTATCGCAAAGGCATTAATAACCTTCCCATTAGATGGCAGCAATGTATAGATAATAATGGCAACTATTTTGATTAAATAAATTTGTTAAAAATTTAAAAAATAAACAATTTAGATTTTCAGTACAAATCGGCAATTTCATACTTTAACCCCTATTACATTATGCGACTCAACTTTGATCTGTTCTTTGCGCCATCTGACCGCAGACCAAATAGGGCTTGGTAAAAAAATTTACAGCTTTTACTAGAATTTAAGCTTGAAAAGCGTCTTTATCACACGAATTACTGATATAACACATTCGTATTGCGTGGCTGTGAAACATACATAAGTACAGCACCGACTATGACTTTTATTTGTTAGCGACAAGCACTGCGACCATTAGACAAACCGTAGGTTTGAATTACTTTGGACAACAATGATGGTATATGATAGTATGTCTATATAACGTAATTTTTAATTAACGTAATTTGCAATTGAAATATACATATATGATATTTATATTTATGATTGCTTTAAACCATAGTTTCCCAAAGTGGTCTCTGCCGCCCTCCAGTAGGCGCTGAAGAGCCCCAGGGGGGCGGTAAGGACCTCGGAAGCAATCGGGGACGCGTTGATGCTGTCCAGGTGGTGCTACCGCATTTGAAAAAAAACCTAAACTATCTATATTATCTATATTGTTTTTCCCTTTGATTTTTTGTGTTAATTTAATATAAAAAATACGTGTTTTCAATTATTTTTTGTGGTGTTGGGCGTTGAAAATTTTTTTTATCTTGCTTAAGCCAAAACGTTTGGAAACCTATGCTTTAAACCATAAAAATTTAAGTAAGATCAACAATAATTATTATTTCTAATTTTGTTATTCAAATGTCGAGGTTTGTAATAGACTTTTATTTTTTTATGTTATTTGGTATAAACCAAATAACATAAAAAACCGCTTACCGCTTTTTTTTAATTATAGCTGTAAACCTTCCTAAAATAAGTAAAATAAAATACAAAATAAAGCGTGCGGTCGTTATATATAATGAAAAAATTAAAAGCAAATCATAGCTTTAGAATTAAGAAAAAGTGAAGTTTAATCCAGTGTGTGGCAACGCTTAATATGGGGTATAGGGTGTAATATATTATTCCTGCGGAATATTTTGTAATTCCTAACTACTTATTGGACAGAAAAACGTGTCGTTATCATCATCACCTATTACTTAACGCGGTCCTTCGCTGGACATCTGACATTGTTAACGTTAATTATTTTTTCCCTCAGAGTGAGACGCCTGTGAGTTTCTTATTGTTTTAAAAACAAAATACATGTTTATATAATTATAATAGTTACGAAATGTTTAGCGATTAAAAAAATTAAAAAAAAGAACTAAAAATATTTAATGATTAAATATTAAAAAAATTGTGTAATCTGGTGGGCTTGCTTTATATATTTTTCGCTTTCACGCTATTTTTTTTTAATTAATTCATGTCACGTGTGCTGTTTTGTCAAAGCGGGACGTTGTTAAATTTTTCGGGCACAGCGGGAAACGAAGCTTAAAAGCGAGACTGTCCCTTAAAACCGGACGTATGGTCACGTTAGACATAGTACACACGACTACACGTCAAGCTTGAAAAACTGGTACAATTTTAAAATTAGGGTCGCGAAGAGCTGTGATTCAATAACCAATACTATTTGTTATTTGACGTTTCCACGCTGCTTAGTAAAAATATCAAAGTTTATTAAATGACATTTGCAAGCTGTAACCAACCGTAAGTGTCGAAGATGCACCTAAAGAAGCAAATATGTAACATAAATATTGAATCACAACATTTTGCGTCCTTCTTACTATGTTATCTGCGCAGACATAGTTGAACGAGTAAACACGTGTACGTAAAGATAATGCCAAGATAGCGCATCACAAATAACATCAAGGTACAACTAATTGTCGAATATTTCTTTTTCTATAAAAGGTCTATTATGTTCAGTGATACGTGAAATCCGAATTTTATAAATAAATACGAAAGTATATCAATTGGTATTATGAGTCTTTGCTTAGTATTTATTGGTTTCAACTGTATTTGAGTTGGTCTTATCTATATTAAATATTATACAGGGAATAGGTTATCGGTTTGTATATTTTGTAAGGCCTTGCTTATTATGACCATTGATGCGACATATGAAAAGGAATTATATGAAAATAACCATCTAACATTTACCATTTTTCTTCTAGAAGCTTTACCAACTGCGCGATTAAAATATACTTCGTAAATAATTAGAGCGAAATGCCAAAAATGGTACTGAGAAAAGTTGCACCTTCTAACACTTGCAAACATGTCGCAGTAATTAAGTATTACAAGTTATATAATTATTTAATTATTGACAAATATGAGCAAATCTCACAAAACAATTAACGGTACTTTTTATTCAACAATATTGCCCTTTCTAAAACGTGTTTATTTGGAATTTCCAGGATAGAGTCTACAAACGATTTATATCGTGAACTCTATTATCATAATCGATTGATTTTTAATTGTCACCAACCGGTATCAATTTTGTAGTAGTTAAGATTTAATTGTTGGCCATTAAGAAGTAGTTAGTAGTATGTAGTGTCTCTAGAAGTGACGAGCGGTGTATGACTTTCTCGTCGGTATCGCTCAACCGCTATCAAAGGTCCTCCCTATCCATTTTTGATAAGATAATTTTAATGTGTTACCGCTTCCATTCGATATTGAGACTTAGATCTACATGTTTTAAAAATTGTTTAAAATTAAATTGTTTTCGCTGTAGATAATCCAATTGAAAAATTTGTGAATGATTTACGTTTAGTTTCAAGAGAGACAGAAAAAAGTCAAAACATACCTTAATAAATTCCAATAATAATCCAGAGAATTGTTTTAAATAATTGTTAAAAGCACACTTAAGCACTGAGAGACACAACACAGCACCAACCTTTTCTGTAGAAATCTTTTCCTAAACTCGATGTATGCCGATTTTCCTTTATCCGTATCGTCCCCGATGTGCACCCGGCCATGTAAAGGAACCCTGTGCCCAGAGATGCCATAGTCCATTTGAAGATCGACGACGAGCATCAAGGTGAAGAGTACGAGGAAGGCGCTGAGTGCGAGCGCGAGGCGCTCCTTCAGTTTCATGTTGAGCATGGTGCGCGCGTTTTGGCGGCGCGGCGCGTGCTGACTGCGCGCATGGTCGGCGGCGGCGCGCGCCGCTGGCTGCGCGGGCGGCGTCGGGCTGCGCTTAGCGTCGCGCCACCGCCGGCCCCAGCCCCACCGCGCCCACCGCGCCCACCGCGCCACGCGCCACCGCCCTCGGGCCCACCCTCGCACCCTGTAACACACAAAAAAAAACTCCAATTTACTACTTCAATACAAACGAACAGTATAACTATCCGCGTAAAGGACGTAAGCAATTTACATTTAAAATCGTCATGTTGATTAAACTCTACTACTCATTCTTAAGGCAGATTCTCCTGAGTAAGGAACTATAGGAATGCTCTTAATAAGTAAACATTTGCGTACATTTACCATTTACAATATTTATTACAAATATAATACATCAAGACAACCTGCAAGACCTAAACGGGTCACTAACACGAATTTTTGTCCTTTAGTGTAAAGTTTTTGTTTCATTTACGTGGTTTAACACTATAGTTAGGTTTTAAATAGCTAGTTTATCTATCACTAGTCACACACATATAAGACTAAAGTGTATCAAACTGACCCGTGGTGAAATGTATATTGAAATAATTTATGAATAAATTAATAAAAAGTAATCATATTAATAATAGTGCTAGAGCCTGGTCTGCAGGTCTAATGAAACTTGCTTCCACCATTTGGTTAGAATTTTATGCAGCCCTCAGTCCAATTTAAACGTATAAAGTTCGCGTAACGGTGTTTCAAGAGCTACGACTATGCCAATACTGGCGCTCTTCTGGTGCTACTCTTGGGAAAGGGTAAAATAATATATGCTTTTTAGTAAACAAAAATTCTTTTGACGTGTATCAGTGTATAAAATAGTAAACTTGTTGTTGTTGTGTTTAAATTACATATATTAAAAATACACATTTATAGTTTTCATAAAAGCCGTGACGTTTAATGGTGGTGTAGTGGTTTGACCTACCGCCTCTCGAGCAGAGGCCGTGACGTTTTTCAGAATTTATGTGCGTAAGTTTAATTTAAAATTTATCATGAACTTTCGGTGAAAGAAAACATCGTGATAAAACCTGGGAAGAAGGTTCACAGCTTTCTGAAAACGTGTAAAAAGTCCCCAACGCGCAATGGGTCAGTGTGGCAGACTATGGCTAAAACTTTCGCCTGAGAGCGGGTTGGGTTGAACGGGTTGATGACGATGACAAATATATATTTGATATACCTTTTACCTCGTTAAGATATAAACGACCACAAAATGCTTTTAACAAAATGATTATTCGAGTATGTTAGTCATGAATTTAATATATTATCAAAAAGTAAACATTTTTGTGTGTTAATTTATATGTTATTATGTATTGACAGCGTACTACTTGCTATTAGTTGTTTGTATGTAGACTAAAATAACGTTAACTTCATTGAACTATATATATCACGACCATTAAAATTTCAAAGTAAACAAACAAATCTTTTTCGAGATTATGTTATTAGTGCATTGCAGTTTCCATGCAAATGGAAATTTGTGCGGAACCTGCAGTTTGAACTCTTCTAAAGCTCCAAGTAAATTTATTTTTTAGGGCCTAAGTCGCGTATATTTATTTTTTTTAAACAAACCAACGTTTCCTTTGTATGTCTCACGGGTATATAAGCGAAACGTTATTTTGTTTCAAAAACCAAATAAACGTTTTAGATCCGAAAAAATAGTGTAATTTCATATAACTTTCGCGAAAACTTAAGAACTCTATATCCAAGTGAATTTGTTTGCCTAATCCAATTCACGTTTTCTAAAAGCTGTAATTTCATTCTTTTGACAGGCATTAGCGGTTTACCTCTATTATTGAAGTACTAAAATCAGGATAGTGTTATTACATAATATATACACAACAACATTTAACTCTTCTAGGCAATTGGGCAGCATATAACAGTTACTAAACCATCCCGTCTTCAGCCTTTAGTAACCAAATGCCCTTTTAAAAGCATAAACGGTTAAAAGGTTCTAAAATGAACTAGTCAGATTTGGATTCGCTATTGCCACTTTTAGTTACTTTAAGTACGGCTATCAGCCGTGACCATGGGACCTGTAAAGGGCCCGAAACGTTGAGTTTGAAAGACAAATATATTTTTAGAAAAAATTGTAATGCAACAAATACGTATGCAACTATAAACTGCTCCTTGAGGTCTTAAGCATCTATTATGCAACTAAACTATACGTACTGGGGGCTAGGTAGGTTTTTGAAGGATTACTGATTTTGTGTAATATAGAGTCACCTTGACAAAATTTCCGACGCAATCAGGATGAAATTTTTGCCATTCATATTTTTTGCTGGCATTACGAGAAAACTAGGGTATGAACATTTACTCTGATAACACAAAAATGATAAATATATTGATTATCCTTCTGATTTCATTATGTATGTATGTACTCTTAGAGAACAACTGAGTCTACATAAATGTGTGCGGTATAGTTATCTAGTTTACATAGTAATCGGAAATTCCAGAGAGCATACCTCTTCCACGTGTGTGTGTTCCTACATATATAAGAATAAATGTCGCAATCGCAATGAGATGAAAATTCTACAAATATGACATAAAACGACACGTTGTTTATTTCAAGGAAATCCAACTACATAATATTTTTTTAATTTCTTTATCCTGGTCGCATAAAATTACATGTGTAATCAGCCCCTATAGATGACGAATTATGGATGATATGAAAACAAAACATAGGTATTGTGTAGTTAGAAAATAGTGTTCGTCGACACAATAAGAATGTCGGAAGGGCATCGTTTCGCAAGACTTGTTTGCAAGCTTGCGGTGTCGTATGCACCGAATGCAAAACATAAAGATAGACACGACCATTTTGCACTCGATAGACATTTGTTCCTTCATTTTTATGCGTTCATTTAATTAGCAAAAAGTACTAAGATAGTTGTTGTCCTTTGTCGAGTGGTAAATGTTTTTGAAAAAGACCCCTAAGCGTTCCAAACCCGAGAAATGACGGTCCGAAATGTCACAGGGATCATTTTGAAGTGTACAAGCGTTATTTGTATTTTCTCGGATTTTAATCGTACTTGGGTTCGAGTTTTCTAGATTTGTATAGTCGCGGATGTCATCTAGACAAATATGATGGTGCCCTCCATGTATTTATTACTTATTTGAGAAATGATTGTTTCTCCATACAAAGTTTTATCTCCTATTTCACCAGCTTTAAAATTTACTTTTGTGACAAAAACTAGCGTATGTCTTTCTCCTAGGTCCAATCTATTTCTATACAAAAATTCAAAATTCATCAAATTCGGTTCAACGGTTTAGGCATGAAAACGTAACAAACAGACTTACTTTCGAATTTATTATTACTTTAGATATATTAACATGTACAGTACAAGTACAAGTTTCCTTCACATAGTCTAAGTAAACTGTATCTAATAAATTTATAGATCCCATTGGCTGAAATAAAAAAATAATACATTTCAAAATCCAAAAAATCCAATTGGAACAATTAGATATTCACAATATATCAAATTTTCATAGCGATCGGCCATCGTGGCCATATAAATACATTCGAGTAGATCATATTATCGATTTGACACTTGCAAAATAGCGTAATCTAAGTATTAAGGGCCTAAGCACACGGCGTATTTTACACGCGCAGACGAAGCGCAGAGGTCGCGCTGACGACACCCTGATGACGCACGTTAACGCGATTCAAACGAGATTCAGTTGTAGTGACTGACCTTTGCACACGTTTACAAATTCATACGCGCCGTAAATGCGCGTTTCACCCGCGTTTGTGAAACGGACATTTACGGCGCGTACTCTCTATAGTAGCACAATGGCGTCAGTCGAGACAACACTGCTTACGCTAGCTTTTTAAAATAAATAAAATTAAGCGTAGCCACTTCCCTGCCCCTTTCCTCAGTCTTGCAACGCGATGTCTGATTCGATGCGAATGCGCTTCGAACGCGCGTTTGATCACGGTTTACGCGCGATTGAATCGATACAAACGTAACAATCTGCTTTTCGAACATCTTCGGCACCGTAATCGCGAGTTCAACGCGCGTTCAAAGTTGCGTTCGTGAAAAGCGCGTCGTCTGCGCGTATAAAATACGCCGTGTGCATAGGCTCTTAGAGACCGTCAGAGTAATTTTATCCACCTGTTGTGTATAAGTACAAAGTGCAAGAATAATTTCTAGATAAAGAGAATTTGATCCGAAGTTCTACATTAGCGTTATAACGTGGGATTATGTCAATACTTTATTCGGGTGCTATACTATATCCGGTGTGCAACGACTTTTTTCTTAGAAACGAACAGAAAACAGAACTGGAAATCTCTAAGGGGAAAATGAAAATAATATTTCCAGTAAATATTTTTTATTTATGGATTTTTATTTCAAACCATTATGTATATATATTAATTACAGATAATGTGATGTAAAAAACATGCCAGCTAGCAGTAGTTGACTACCTTCAAACTAGGGAATTCTCTGTACTAAGATTACCAGACCAGAACCACTTTAGAAACGTTGATTTCCCAAATTGGTTTCATCGGAAATCGAACCCGAGACCTCCTCATCCAGCGCCCATAGTGCAAACCGTTGTGCCACCGAAGTCGTCATTATTTCGAACTAGTTGTTTCATGTTGTTTAAGATGTAAGTGAATAGGTGTTCCTCATGGTTAACTACCGAAAATTTCTAGCTTCTGTAGGAACGGGGGAATGAGGCCATTTCAAAATAGCCAATAATAATAATGCAGTAGTGAAAGTAACATGTAGTGCGAGATTTTGATGAACAACGACATCACAGTTGGGGGCCCCCTGGTACGGCAATTCCGGGTAATTATTAATAAATAATAGAATTCCATCACAGAAACGATAGCAAGTGCATTTATATCGAGTAGCAGCAGTAGAGCTCCTTGTGAAAGTGTTCGTCCAGGGAAGTACTGCTACCTTACCAATTTCTATAATTTCTATAACTGCCTCTGTGGCCGAACGGTTACCATGCTGGACTGCCACGCAGAGGTCCCAGGTTCGATTCCCGGACCGGGAGAAATATTTGTACGGCCTACATTATTTCTCTCGTGAGTTTGGGTGTAATTTGTGGTTGTCTATGTGTGTGTCCATGGCACCCGCG